TACTTTGTAAAAACTGAAATGTCCAAGTGGACTCACTCTGTGGAGTAACTGCACTGCCCACCTTTTCCAGGCTCCTGAAGTATATAATGGCAGTAGAGCTTGACCTTCACTGTTTCTTCACTCTGTCATTTTTGTTTTCCTTACTTCGTGTTACTGTTTTTGCTTCTACTTTTGGATGAATTCTATAGAAGTATGAGTTTTTACACACAACTGTAGTTGTCCCTGTGGAAGGCAGCAGTGGCTGGGAATCTGGCTGTATGCTCTGACCACTTGCTGATCTGTCAGATAAGCTAGAATCCAGCCTTGGTCAGGGGAAAGACACCAGAGCATTTGTTTGTTGTCTGTTACTTGTCTCAGATCAGGAAAATATTTTGTGCCAAATAACCAGTCTTTTGAGATCTGAAGGAGTGACATTTTGTGTATACTACTGACCTGTAGTTGAAACCATGGAACATTATGCTAAGTTCTATGTCTGAGGGAAAAAAAAAAATCACTGTGTATGTGCAAAATATGTTCCTATCTCTTGAGGACAATAATAAATTAAAATAAAGGATCTCTGCTGTTCTGAATGGTTTAGAGAGATTAACAAGCTTTTAAAGAAATCCAACATTCCCCAAATTCCAGGAAAATAAAGTGAAATTCTAATGCTTTAAATGCTCTTCCCTCTTAAGATAGGGCCTTTCTGACTCACAGCATAGTTTTTTCCCATTAGAAAATAAGCTATATACAATCAAAATGAATCCTTACACGAGTCAGGCTGGTTTGATAAATTGGTTTTAAAAACAGATAGATGATGTTTTTCTGTATTTTATCAGTGTGTCGTTAATACAAGTGTAATTTAATTTTGTAAAATAGGATTTGGATTTATAAAGAGACTAGTTTGTCTGAACTTAAGTGTTGTCTCTTACTTCACTGAAAATACAAGCTAAATATTTTATGTAACTTGTTTGTATTTAGTGTCCTAACAAAATGTTGCATTATTCTGATTAATCTTTTTTGCTGTTATTTTGGTTTGGTTTGGTTTTTTTGTGACAGGGTCTTACTATGTAGCCCAGGCAGGCCCAAACTGGTGATCCCCCTGTCTCAGCCTCCAGAGTGTTGGTATTACAGACATGTGCTATCACACCTGGTTTATTCCAGTTAATCTTTAAAATACCAAAGAAAAAAAAATACAAACTAAGATTACTTCCAGAAGATGAAGAAAACATATGTAAGTCTGATACTCTTCTAAACTGAATTATAATTGTGAAAATCCTTTAAATTTTTTTATTTAAAAATTTTTAACTAACAAAAATTGTGTATGTCTATCATACAATTATGTATATGAGGTTTTGAGATATGTATAGACTGTCAAATGACTAAAGTGAGCTAATTAATAAATGCATTCCTCACATTCTTATTCTTTTTGATACAAACCTTTTTTGGGGGGTAGGAGTGGGACTAGAGTTTGCACTCAGGGCTTTGAGCTTGCAAAGCAGCTGCCCTACCACTTGAGTCACGCCTCCAATCTCGTCTAGTTATTTTAGAGATAAGGTCTCTCAAACTATTTGCCCAGGCTGGCCTCAAACTTCAATCTTCCCAATCTCAGCCTCCCAAGTAGCTAGGATTATAGGCAAACCTGTTTTACATCAACAGTAATTATGTTTAAACATAATCTCCAACATCTTTAGATTCAATATATTTGTCTTTACGTGTTTGGTTGTTCCAGAAAGTGAAAGAGAATAATGAAGGACAGAAGTCAATAGAAGTGCATATTTGTAGGTAAGAAATCTTCATTTGACTTGGTCTACAACACGTGAAAATAATGTCTATGAAGAAGTAATTAAATGTTAAAATTATGTCAAAATTTGCTGGATGCTGGTGGCTCATGCCTATAATCCTAGCTACTCAGAAGGCAAAGATCAGGAGGATCACAGTTTGAAGCCAGCCCAGGAAAATAGTTCTTGAGACCCTATCTCGAAAAAACTCATCACAAAAAAGGGCTGGTGGAGTGGCTCAAGGTGTAGGCCCTGAGTCCAACCTCCAGTACTGCAAACAAAAACAAAAACAAAAAACACTCTTATAAATAATGTTGAAAATTGTGTACTTATTTTATAGGAAGGCCCTAAATAGATGGCAATATCTTTACGGGTTCACCCTCAGGGAAAACGTTGATTAAGTAATATCTTATACTCAGATAAAGCAGTTTAGTTCTCCTGTGCACTGATACTGTGTGTTAAATTAATCATAAATTCACCATAGCTACATTCATGTAGCTACATACATGTGTCCCTCTGGAGCTTGCCTAACAACTCTGCCTAAGTTATGGACTAGAGTGTGCCTTTGACAAAGAAAGCACTTGCAGAGCCTCCTGAGTAGGACTTTCCAGGTACTCTCAACTCCTGATGTTTCCCAGAATAGACTTGTGGAGAGAGGCTTCTGAATTGACCTTGCCTAGACAAGAATGAGACAGTGCTGGTTGGTTAGATCAGACACTTATGGCAGTATTTAGTTTAGAAATAGATGGCTTCATGAAAGCAAATTAATGGCAGAGAAATCAGAATTGATTCAACTGACAATGGAAATCAAGTTTTAAATGTAGATATAGGTTTTGGAATATTATTGGTATTTTTTGAATGCTCATTTTCTTGATGTGGAAAACCCTTCAGTCTTCATCTTGATCCATCTCTACCTCTCAATTTAGCTGATTTGCAACTACATGAAATAGCAACTTGTTCTCATTGATCACTCAGAATTCAGGAAGAAGGATCTTTCTGAATCAATCTACTTTTTAATGGTGATAGCAATATTTGCACTGGCTCAACAAGAATCTGTTCTCCCTTTGTCAGGCAAATAGACCATGCAACCAAGGCCAAACTATAGTGGCACTGCTGTAATTTGAATCTTATATGTCCCCCAAAGGCCATATGTTAAAGGCTTACTCCCAGCTTGATATTATTGAGAGGTAGTGGAAATTATAAGAGGTGAGGCCTGGTTGGAGGTTTCCAGTCACTTGTTATACACCTTCAACACACTGTGAGTCCCTGGCTTCTTCTCTCTCTTTCACATCCTGGTGATGAGATGGTTTTGCTCTGCCATGATGTGCTGCCTCACCACAGGCCCAAAAACAATGGTGCCAAATGACCATGGACTGAAACCTCCAAAACTCTGAGCAGAAATAAACCTTTCATCTTCATAAGTTGATTTTCTCATGTGTTTTGTTATAGTAACACAAAGCTGGCTACACAGTCATATTAAAAATAAGCCTCATTTCAGCAGGTATAACAAGCACACTATTAAGGAAAAGGGATTACAATTTCATACTTTTATAATACCCACAAAGCTCTCCCAAGAAATTGAACCTACTTATGACTTACAGGGTCCCAACCTTATAGGCAGTAAGGAAGATCACTTCCTGGATTGTCAGGAACCTTAGGAGAATCTAAGTACAGATGTTAAAACAAAACTCAGTGCAAATGAATTTCTTTAGTTTTGTTTTCTGTCCTTGGAATAAAATTGTAAATATAGAGGACTGCCAGGAGACCTCTGGAGTCATGGAATCCATTGAAAATACTCTCCTAGATTCCTTAATAAACTATCGTAGTTAATTGTCTGGAATTACTAATAATAGTTGCTCAACACAGTATGGTAATATTTGCTATCCATATAAAGGGTGTTTATATGCTAATTAAATCTTTTGAGGGCTGGCGAAGTGGCTCAAGTGGTAGAGCATCTGCCCAGCAAGCGTGAGATCTGGAGTTCAAACCCTAATACTAGCAACTATAAATAAATAAATAAACAAATAAGTAAAGCATCTTTTGAATTTATGTCAATGAATGAAGCCTAAACACAATGCCTTTTTTGTGGCAATGAATAATCTCTGAAGATATTTATAGTAACAAAGCAGACTGTCATATTATAGCACTATTTAACTGACCCATCCAAGGAATATTTAATTAAGAAGGAGTAGGCACTGTTCTCATTCACTGCTCTTATTCAGGATATTTGAAAGCTCTGTTAAGATAGACATTAACTTATCAAAAACTTGGAATGATGTAAACCATTTCTTGTTCTAAAATGTCAGATAAATCTTAGCCAATGTAGATGCAAATACTTTCCACCCATGATAGTTCAAAGGTTACCAATTGATTGTATGACTTGACATTAGCTACTTATTCCAACATACTTTCTTTAAGTAACTGAAATACTTCTGGTAGTCCTGTACTTTTGTACACCAGATTACCATCCCATTGCTCCTCTCATTAAGAAAATCATTCATCATTAAGGAAGCAAAATAATTTGTGACATGTATTTATTCTAAAAGAAAAATCTGGGGGAGAAATGACCCACACATTGTATGCACATATAAATAAAAGAAAAAAAAAATCTGTGCTTAAAAGAGAACAGAAAAATGCAGACTCCGTGGGATTCTCAAAGAATGTTTCCTCTTGGTCCTCTATTTTAAATATTTTCCTCTTTAGGTATAAGTTTACTTTCAATGGAAAGAGAACTCATTAATTCCATGAGTGGTAGGCTGCAGTCTGCGCTGATGAGAGTATGGGATGTGTACGAGAATGGCGTTGAGCAGTGTGAGGCAACCCTTCCACTTTCTAGACAACTGTGCAGACAAACTCACCACCTAACTCCTGATGAGTCATGTTTCACTGGCTACTGTCAAAGTATCCACCTTCAAATGTAATGTTATAAGTTTCCTCTAAGTCTTAAAAGAAATGTTTGTAAGACATAAGAAATTCAGAAAAATTCACAACTGCCTTCATTAGCTTTTTCCAGAATTTACAGTTCTGAGAGAGCTGCACAGCAACTTCACTAGCATTAAAATACCCACAGGTGCCTAATGACAGCAACCTGGGAGGTTAGGAGAGGATAGAGCTGGAAGAGAGAGCAGTGGCTGGTGCACCTGTAAGTTTACACCCCCACAGATCCCCTTAGAGCCTGTCTCCAAGGCTGCCCTATAGATGCCGGTCAGTGAAACAGAGAAGTCAACAGATAAACAAGATTACCAGTCGCTCCATCTCCTGCTCCCTGAGTCTTTCCTCCCTCTGCCGCCGGTGATAATCCATCAGGTCATCACGTCCAGAAATTGAGCTAATGCTACTTTTCCGTTCTCGAAGGACAGGCTGGGGAGTCCCTGAGGCCTGTCTGAGGCTGTCCAAATCCTCATCATCAAACTCCACAGAGCCACAAGAGAAGTTCCTCCTCGTCATGAACACCCTGTCTGGATCTCCTACAGCAAATGACTGACTTGGGCTCGTCCCCGAGTATGGAACCCTATCAAAGTCATCAGAGGCGCAAGAGGAGGTGGAGGCCAGAAGCATCTTCCGAGCCACTCGAGGACTGGCAGGGACACTGAGGGTGGAACTTACATAAGGACTGCCCTCTGATGCAGAAGTTTTATAGGGGAAAGCCCCTGAGCTTAGAGAAGAAAAATTAAGGTAATTGTCATTGTCTATTATGCTATGAGGTAGATCCTTGTCCCCCAGTCGGCTTCTCTTAGAATTGCCCAGAGAGTTTCTGGGAGGCAAGCTGAGAGGTGTCATCTGGTTCTCTGTGGCTTTGTACAATCTGGGAAGCGATCGGCTATAGGCTCCCATGTGACTCAGACTGCTCCCTGAATATTTCCGAGTTCGTAAACTGATGTTTTCAGATGCCGGCTCCTTGCGTCTGGTTAGCTTGGGCTGAAGTGCTAGGTTGTCCTGAACGCTCATTTTCCTGGCTTGCTTTGGGCTTGAAGGCATGCTTGCCGCTCCCGACCTGCTTGTGGAGGAGGGACCAGATTCGCTCAGAGATCCTCCATTCCACATGGCCAGGAGCGAGCCAGATGCCTTTCTTCCTTCCAGTCCTCCAATAAAGTAGACGTTGTCGTGTGATTTATTTCTAGAGCTATATTTGGAATAGGGAGGCTTCTCTGAGATCCTTAAAGACCTTTCACTGTCTCGACCAGTATAATGATCAAAATCTGCTCTCCCAAGTGGATATCCACCGAGCGAAGCTGTAGTGCTGAGGAAAGGAGTGGGAGGTTTCATGGAAGGATTTTTCTCAGTTCCATCGCAGGGGAACTGTTTGCTTCCCTGGATTTTGGCCAAGGAGGGGCTGCTTCTGGCATTGGTACCCAAAGGAGAAGGGCTTCTCTTAGTAGGCACAGGTTGTGAGAGGGTTAGATAGGAGCCTGAATAGTCTCCATTGGCTTTAAACTTCAGACTGGAAGAGTATTTCTTCTGGCTTAGGTTCTCCATGTTTTGGGGATCGCTCTCCAGAGAATGCACCCCAAATTCTTCTTCTAAGCCACCATTTTGTAAATCCACCTTGCTTTTGCATGTGGCTATACTCTGCCATAATCTTGCTGGACTCTGTAAAAAGGGGGGAAAAGAGAAAGTTTTACTTAGCAAAAAGAGATTTAAAAGAACAACCCTTTTTAGCCTTGTAGTCTGAACTACTGTAATTAACAAAGACTCTGTTTTTCTAATAACCTAGTAAGACTGTACTGGAAACTGAAGAAGAATAAAGACCATTGATCAGTGATGGTTTTTTGTACAAAAGAAAGATAATTCAAGATGCCAGCAATGATATTTGAGGGAAACAAATCCCTAATGAATGATACACACACACACACACACACACACAAAATCTCCCTTCAGTGTTTTAGTTCTTGGAAGGAAGCCTGCTTCCTGAGTACCTAGCAAATGCCTAAAAAGATCATTTAATTGTCTTTCCTTTACATGTCTCTGCTAAAATCATCACCAGCTCAGAAATAGTCCTGAGGAAACAAATTAGTATCTTGGCAAAGAAAGACTATTTTGTTAGACACTGATCAAGACCACGAGGGTTGGAAGATGGTTCTTTAGGAGGTAGTTATGGGAGTAACCTTCTCAACAGGAAGACTTAAAGCTCCTGCATTCATCAGAAAGAGGCAGGTGACAACAGAGGAAGAGTATACCAAAAATTGTTGCCATGTGGGCAGGGTGGCATACTGAAAAACCTGAAACTGGTATATTCTTCAAATTCCCTGGTTTCCCAAATGTACCATGCTTGTCCTTGGTACCAAAACCTCTTCTCCAACAGAAACACCTGTTTCCTCTTGTGTATCTATCAACCCACCTTTCCCTCGAGGGACAGATCAGATTCTATCGTCCATGATTCATTTTTTTTTCCAAAACATATGCACCCATATGAATATGTTTTGGACCTTAGTTTGAACAACATTAACTTAAAGTTTTAGTCTATAAAAATGTCTCCAAATTAAAATTATCACTGTAAGTGTAAAGTCTTATATTTATAACTGATAAAAAAATTTTCCTTAGATTATCAGCAAAGGGAAAATATGATTTAAATGTTCTCATTGAACACATGCACCACTATGACTCTTTGCCAGCCCTCAGGGACCTCAAACACTAATTATTGTATCTCTGGTCTGTATATAAACTGTATCATATGGTTAGTGGTCGATTTTTTGATGTGGTTGTCTCTGCAAGTTTAAGGAAAAGGACTATGTCTAGCACTCCTTTTGTCCCAATTTTCTATTTTAATTGCAATCTTCCTCACTCCACCGATCAAGAACTTTGCTCTTCTTGCTCAGATTCACAGATTTTCTGGACAAATTCAGGCAATCCAGTATGGAACTGTTTCTTATCCACAGTCTGGAACCAGAAAACAGTGTAAATGCTTAAATCCTGCTGGTGAGCTGAATACTCAACTGCCCATAAAGCTGTAGTCTTCCAACAAATTCTATCCTGGATTCTTCATACTTCAACCCAAAGCCCGCTTGGCAGCATAAGCATAATTTGTTTTTTAAGTCTATCTCAAATCGATTGAGGTTCTCCATTACACTTGGATTCCAGCTGGGATCTGGCCAAGTCTTTCATTCCTCAGGGCCGGTGCCCTCTCTGGCCCCAAGACAATGTTCCTCTCAGCATTTGTTTATTACTAGCAATCCTGACCTTGAGAGGAAACCAGTCTGATCTGAGACATAGCTCACCATGCTCCTTTGGAAGCTCAAACTAAAAGACAACTGCTTGTCTTTATTCTTCTATTCTGAACTAATTTCATCTTGGTTGATTTGATTTGCCATATTGAAATTCCAGCAAGCCTTTGCTGGTTATCCTAAATTAAATATTTCAGGATTGAGGACACAAGGAAATACATCCTAAGGACATTATAATGTTACTTATTATAACAGCAAATACTCTAAATGCTCAGCAATAGGGAAACAAAAGTTGAATAAGCTTCAGTAAATCACATGAGTGAATATTATGAATCTATTTATTTTGAAGCATACGTTTCATAGTATAAACACATTCATATAATACACATTAAAAAAAACATATACAATATATGTTTTCTTATACCTTTCTGTATACACTGATCCTACACAGGTATATCCTGTGCATATAATGCACACAGTGAGTACACATTCCCCATATGTACAGATGCTCAGTCCAAAATCTTGGAAGTCCTGGTTGATCTCCTTTATCAGGAGCACCTCCCTCCTCATTGTATCCATCAACAAACCCCATCAGCATTGTCCTTTAAACATATTCTGAATCTGATCACTTCTTGCTATTTCACTGCTGTCTCCCCATAAAAGCCACTAAGTTCTCTGCCCCCTATGCCTATTCCCCTACAAAAATGAAAATTAATGGTGGCTTTATCTGGGTGGTGGTATTACTAGTGAATTTTGATGTATCTCCTTCATACCAATTGCCAATTATCTTGACAATCAGAAGAAAATCCTTGGCATAAAATATCAGCATATAATGTGCTGTAACATTTCATTTTTAACTTGATTAAATTCTCATCTTTTCCTTAGCTCTTGCCCAATTTTTAAGCCAGATGCTAACTCTTCCAGAAATTTTTATTTGAAAGAACTTTTTGAGCAGACTAACTTAATATGCAAGTATGTGAAGACAGTAACATTTTTTCTAACTCAGCAAAATGAGTCTGACAAAAGTGTTAATTATACATATTTATCCATTGCATAATTTATGCATCTGAAAAACTAAAAAATCAAATATAAAAATCTTTCCAAATATGAAAAAAAGTAACAAAATTATTACCACAAATGTCTCTAGATGTTTGCTGAACATAGCTTAAGCAATAATATTAATATCTTCATTATTAAAAATATAACTACTAAGATATTATCTTACTTGAAGTGATTCAGCTTACTATATAGGAAAAATAAAAATATCAAAAGACAGTTTTGGATATTATATTCATTAAATATCTACCTTACATCAGACATTTATTTAGTAGGTGTTAGTGTTAGTCACTAATAGTCTGGGTTCCCTTTCTTTCAGGAACATAGTGGAGTGGCTCTTCTCACCCCCATGTGAGGTGTGGCTGTCCCTTGCTTTGATCAATGAAATACAAGAGAAAGTGATCTGTCAGTTCCAAGCTGACCCATCAAGAGTCAGAGAATGAGTCACCATTTCCCATCTACCTGCTAAGACAGGTAGCCTCCATCCAAGGTTGTGGAGGCTTTGTTAGCCAATATTTCTCAATGAGGACAACATTGGCTCTGGCCAACCCAAGATTATCTTCAGTCACTGAGATTTAGCTTTTCATTGTTATTGTTACTAGGAAGATGCTTATCTTCATTAAGTGCCTACCAGTCTCTGAGCTAGGAAGGTAGACAATTACAAGATTCCTTTCCTTGTCTTACACAGCTTACAGTCCAAAGAGGGTGATGCCCATGTTAGTAAATGGGCACTATACATACTTTAATGGAGGACTGATATACTGAGCAACAGGGTGAGGGCCAACTCAGTGAGAGTGCTAGTCTCAGGGAAGTTACAGAAGGAAATGACCTTGAAGTCAAGTACCATTGAAGGAAAGATCATTGGATCAAGTACCATTGAAGGAAAGAGATCATTGGATCATACCTGCTTGATCCAATTGTAGCATAAAGTTACTTCCACATCTAAAATTTTGTGATTCTAAGAATATAAATAAAATTCTAGGCCCATTTAAAATCAGACTACTAGTGTATCTGAGAAACATCTTGTTTCTGATAGAAATAAAAACAACAGTTGTACAGGAAAAACCAAGTTGTTTTCTGTATCATGGTTCTTAAAAATCTAGGGATATAACTTTCTTGGGATGAATTGCATTTAATAGCCATGTACTTTTCTCTCACTTCATCTAAATCCTTTTCCATCTTTAGCACTAGAAATACTTTCCTGGGCCTAAGCTATATACTTACTCTAAGAGTGGTTTACCTTGGACAGAAATTCTTCAAGCTTTTAGGATATTTTAGATGAGGATTTAATTAAGAGGGAAAAAAAGGATGCAAGAGAGCTGTTAGACTAGACAAGGAAAGCAGTTTGGAAAAAAAAATAGACAAGGAAAGAATCAATGCCAGTTAGTAGCTAAAAGTTTGGCTTGGAGGTAATATATACAAAATGAGAAACAGAAGTAAGTCAAATAGAAAATTCATTCCACAGGGTGCAAACACAGCAGTGCAGAGAGTAGGACAGAGCAGACGTCACTAAACAGAAATCAAAATCTAACAACAGAATCCAAACTTTGTATTTTAAATATTTACTCCAACAGCACAGAATTGGAGGATCTACCACCTTGTGTCAAGATAGATACATAAAAGTCTGTCTTTTGACTCAGCAGTCAGACTGATTTTGCTGAGTCCTCCCCTTATTTGGAGGAAAAAATATGTATATAGAGAATATTAAACTTTATTTGGGAAAAAATATGTATATAGAGAATATTAAACTACCACAAATTCCCTACTCATATTGTGCAACCGCTTGTCCCCCATCTCCTCCTCACACATATTTTTTTAAATCAAAAAGTGTTATTACTGAAGCAGTTTAATTGACCAAACAAAATACAACACCAAAATATTCCACAGCAGTATAAGCTGAAAAAAGATCAGCTCTACAGTCTCTAGGGAAGAAACAAGCAGGACGTCTATAAAAAATAAACCACATCTGAGGAACAACGATGCAATATTTTCAAGCATGTACTGTAGGAGAGGGTTACTGATGATTTAGATGGAAGGACATGCTGGAGAAAATTTAAAGGGATACTCATGTTTGATACCCCAGTTCTTCGTTCAGCCTCATCCTGCCTGTTAAAGATATACAAATATTTGATAGATTGTAAGAACCTGTGTAAATACCACAATGTACTCCCAGCCATTGCAACAATAAAGGAAAAAAGAAGATATACAAAAGGTTTCTATTTAAAGATTTTTTTTATCATCAGATATTAATATAGAATTCATTCATTTTTCTGGAACTTAGTTCATCTGCCATTGCTGAATGCATTATTTATCTCAACATGATAGCTCTCCTTTTTTTTTTTTTTTTTTTGCAGTACTG